AAAAGTGTATTTAAATACACTTTTTAAAAGTTATTATAATTTAGGCAGATCTAGAGATACATAAGGTTAGTTTTAGACTTTTATAACCTCAATACCTTACAGGTGTCTTACACTTAATATAGAAAATGGAGGTATGTCTTCGTAAAGTTAGACTGCTTTTTTGCCAAGCTAAATGTAACATGACGCTATTAATTGGATGTCTTACATATTTTCCATACAAACTAGAAGGTGTTACTTCACAATGTATGTCCAAGGGCTGAAATAGTTAATAAATTGTTATTTGCTTTTTAGAATCAGAAGGGAATGTAATACTCTTAAGAAACCTAGGCAAATATTATGCTTAATCCAAAGTTATTCTGAACCTGAAGTCTTTAGCAATTTGGAAATGTTAATTTTCAGGCAAATCCTACTGTAATTCTGGATAAAAATTGGTATTAGCTAAGGATTTAGAATTAGTTTAAATACACATAGACTGGCATAAAGAAATAAACCATAGGTGATTTTGAGATAAAATATTCTGTCCTTAAGTGGGCATAAAGTTAAAAAAACACGTAAGCAAATAAAAAGTAGAGTATTTATCTTGATAAAGGTACAATTTTAAAATATTATTCAGCTGAAATATTGTAAAACAAGATTTACTGCAACAATAATTTAAGGTAATAGCAAAGATGTCATTTAAGCAATTTGCAAATCGTATATTTCCTTGCTGTGTTTGCAAGATTACCTTGTGAATCATCGGGAACAATAACTCAAAAAGCTTTTGATTTACATTTTCTTGAGACCTAAAGGCAAGAAAGGACACTATGGATAAGATGAATACCTTGATGATCTACTAGCTTCAATAAAGAAAATTCTGCCTTTTCCCAAGTCAGGTGCTAACTATCTCAAGTTAGCATCTGATACATTCTTGCAAATGATCATATAGATATACTTCATGGTAAAAAACTGTGTTTGGATCAGTCTGTAAGAAGGCTTTTTCTTATATTTATGAATAAATATAATTATGGTCCTGAGAGTGCAAAACCTGAGATGTACGAAAGTTCTGGATCATGAATACACTGGTTAAAAGAATTTTAATAATTAAAATGTGGTTTTCAGACTAACAGTGTCTAATATTTCTGTCTATACAATAGGTTTATTTCTGTGGAGGCTGCACTTTGCTGCTGAATATCTGCTTCATTCCATTCAGGTTCAGCTCTGTCTGCAATTACTGAAACATTAGCATGCTGTCTTGTAGCATATTAAGTAGTGTGGCTAACATCTGTTCTGTATTTATTTGTTCTTTTTTTCTTCTCATGTTTATTTATTTATTATTTTTATTATTTACCCCTTGTCTTTGTGGAGGTTTCCAGAATGTGCTGCTATGGATTTGCATTAGAAATCAGGATCAGGAAAGAAAGCGTCCCTGTACCTGGATTAGATGACAGTGGGGATCTTGTTGGTCCTCAGTTCCCAGGGGACACTATTTATAAGAATAAATAAACCCCAGGATTTAATTTTAGAGAACAAATGTACACTGTGCTAAAGCAATGGAAGTGCTGACACCAACTTTCACTGTCGGGTTAAAGATTATTTTTTCAATGGTTTGTGTATAGTCTACTGAGTTCCATGAAGACAAGGAAAGCATCTGCAAATTTGTCTGTCTTCTGTTTGGCAGACATGTAAAAAGGGAAAACAGGTGTTATATTTTCAAGTAATCTGTGCTGTACGGAAATCTGTTATGTGGACACATAAAATCCAACAATTTGCTTCAGTTCATGAAACACTTGCAAATGTACATGTCATAGAAGAAAGTATGTTTATTCCGAAAAATAGTCTGAAATTGGTTTTGATAAAAAACCTTTGGTTAAGCATACAATCTATGTGAAGCACATATGATAGAAAATATCAACCAGAAGTCTTCAGAAAAGAGGTTTCCACTTGAAATTTAGAATACTTTTTACCTCTGCTTGGAGTAGAATAACCTTTGAATAATTATTCTACCATGGCTGGATGCTTAGGATACAGATACATTGTTGGCACACAGTGTTTGTCCAATCCCTTCTCATTTCCCTACAATTCAATTTTCTCATCTTTCAATTTCCTGCAGTTCCTTCTCATTCTTGGGTAGGAAAATACAGTTACAGCATAAATATACCTTATCATTCACTGGAATCCAGCAATCTCTAATGCTCAGCTAACTCTAGTTATAAATCTCTTCTGCAGAGTCTACAAGGGTTTGGTATCTTTTTCAGATGGTCTGAAAGTCCTCTAGGAATTCAGTATGATAACAAATCTTTCCACATTTATATGAAACTCAAAACTTCTCTTTGAAATCCTACTTTTTAAAGAGTAAAAAAATTCTGCTATTCCTACTACTAATAGAAGGGAATAATGTAAAAAAAGTAATATCACAAATGACAGTAATCTTAAATTGTGAATTTGAGAGCCACAGATATTTAGTGCAAGAATATGCTTGCACAAATTGTAATGTAAATGTAAATAATTGTGAGTTATCTACTCTTGGAAAGCCCTACATCTTGTGACTTCCTAGTCCTAGTGTACATGGTCCACCTCCTACAAAGCAAGACTTTTTGGTGCTTGTCTCTAGGAAAAGAAAGGAAAGAAATGGACTGTGCAATTTAGGTTATCAAACAACAACAACAACAACAACAAAAATCAAAACCAAAACCAACCAACCAAAAAAATCCAAAACAATCTGTGGGAATCCAGGGAATCAAAAACAACAACAACAAAAAAAACACCACCAGAAAACCCTCACAAAAAAAACCCCAAGACCATAAAAAATCCAAGCACCGGTGTCTTTCATCAACTGGATGGCACTCACTATGCAGCATGAAATCACAGGATTAAAATACTACTTCATGATATTTTGATTTTTATTCCCTCAAATATTTTTCAACACGTCCTGCAAAGAAACATCAGACTGTAGACCTCTTTAAGAAAATAACTTGTGGAATATTCTGGGCATTTATTTTTCAACAATGATGATTAAGGGAATCACTATTATAAATTTATAATGTCAAGAGAAGAGAAAATATTTTCTATAATAAGAATGAATCTTCCAATATTTATTTCAGAACATAAAGCTACACTTCAGTCTTTAGTTAGGAGGATTTTTTGCTGCTATTTTTTTTTCCCTAATCTTCTCTCACTGGACACGTGCATAATGCATTCTAGCAAGAAGTTATACTGCTCAAATGCTTCTTGGTAGCACTTTATATAGTCATAGTGGTGAATGAGAAGCAGTGATTACATGCTAACTTAAGAGTAATAAATGAGACTTCTACTCCATAAAGTGGAGAATTCCTCCATTTCCAAACTGAAGCACTTAACAGGAAATGTTGACAAGTGCAAAAATACCCAGTAATCGTCCACAGATGTCTTTGTGGATATCTTACACTTCAGATCTTCAAGAGACTTCCCAGTAACTAGGAGCTTAACAGACAAACTGACAGACTGCTCCAAAGGAGTTAGTGGAAATAATTTGTCAGGCAACGATGTGTTAGCTGCAGGCATCTCAAAATACCTGGCACACAGTCAAAAGCACTTTGAACTCCAAGTTCTATTATCATTTTGGGAAGCAGAAACTTTTGTGAGTAAGGTCTTAGAACAAGAAAAATCTAAGTTTCTCTACAAAAATGTCACTTCTAATGGAATGTTTCTGATATAAGACTTGTTTTAGAGAATTCATTTCTATGAATAATACTCAAGCCTCTAAAACAAACTGTTGTACCAGAGGTATATATTACATATCTTGGATAACTTTTAGAAAAATAAATGCATCATCAATTATATAATCAGAAGAAAGTCTTTGGACTTTCCCTATATTTATTTTATCTGGCTAGCCACTTGTTATTTCGTCCCAGCAGGCCCATGAATGCAGATTACGTGAAGGAAAACACAAAAGTCAGTGGGTTGCAAGAAACTGGATTTTTTTCTGTTTCATGAATATTGCCATGGAGCTGTCTGAATACCAAGAAATTTATCCAAAATTTTTAATCTAAAATCAAATTTCTTTTGGATGTCTCCTTTTTCTATGAAACTGAACATGGCTGAAATTTTCTTGTGTGCATGTGCAACAAAGGTTAAGCTACAGAATAACTGGTCAACAGTCTGACCAGATGAGTAAACTAAATATCAGGAAACAAAATACAGTTGCTGTATTTTTCTGAGGAGTTCCTAAAAATCTCCCCAAACCTGTGGTATGACAGGATTCAAGTGTAAAAATTATATAATGGTTATCATTGCACATAAATTTTCCAGGCAGGTAAATGCAAGCAAAGATTTAATTTTGAACATTGCAATTGGGAAGGAGAGTCAGTATTGTTTTACTATAGTTTAAATTGATGCATATCCTATTTTTTAAGCACTCAATAACAGATGAAAGAACAGTGGC